GGAAGAGGGGGTGCAGACCCCAGCGCCGCCTGACTGCTCTGCTACCCCAGCGTGGGTGTCTTCAAGAATGGCCGCGTGGAAATCATCGCCAACGATCAGGGGAACCGCATCACGCCGTCCTACGTGGCATTCACGCCCGAGGGGGAGCGCTTGATTGGGGACGCCGCCAAGAACCAGCTTACGTCCAACCCCGAGAACACCGTGTTTGATGCCAAGCGGCTCATCGGCCGCACCTGGAACGACCCTTCCGTGCAGCAGGACATTAAGTACCTGCCATTCAAGGTGCGCCCCGAACGCGGAAGGATGGGTGGCGGGTGGGGGGCCTTTGTGGCCTGACAGAAGAGGCTACTGAGTCATGGTGCCCTTCTGAGCAACCCTGCAGTTCTCCAGCCCTGCCGGGAGGGTTAGTGTGCAGGGATGTGGCTGTGCTGTGTAGAAAACGGTTCCTTGTGTGAGGTAGTGTTCAAGTGATGTCTTGTTATATAGAGACTTTGCTTAATCTTAAGAGAGAAAGAAACACTTGGACAAGTGGGAATAGTTTTATGAATGGTTGAGCAGGACAATATGTTCTTTTCAGGTTGTTGAAAAGAAAGCCAAGCCCCATATTCAAGTTGATGTTGGAGGTGGACAGACAAAAACATTTGCTCCTGAAGAAATTTCTGCGATGGTCCTCACAAAGATGAAGGAAACTGCAGAGGCTTACTTGGGGAAGAAAGTGAGTTCATGAGTGCTACCAGTAAGAACTTGAAGCAGCAGTTTTACAAAACTGAAGACGGGTGGGCTGAATCTGTGGAGTAACCTTGCAATCCTAAACTCTGTTTAGGGCTGCTGCCCCTTGGGCAGCGGAGATGAATGTGCTCAGCCGATGGTGGGCTTTCATATATATTTAAAGGACAATGGTACTACTTGGTAGCAGCATTGCTATGGTTATTTACGACCTATGTGCTTTTCTTTCATTTCCATTAACAAAATTGTATCTCTTGCTCCTTATTTAGGTTACTCATGCTGTTGTTACTGTGCCAGCCTACTTCAATGATGCTCAGCGTCAGGCTACAAAAGATGCTGGTACTATTGCTGGGTTGAATGTGATGAGAATTATTAATGAGCCGTAAGTAGCCTTACCTGTCCTGCCTGCTGGGGAGGTGGGGGTGGCAGTCTCAGGTTGCTGAATGGGCTGTTCCCTCTACAGAACGGCTGCTGCCATCGCTTATGGGTTGGACAAGAGAGAGGGTGAGAAGAATATCCTTGTGTTTGACTTGGGTGGTGGAACTTTTGATGTATCCCTCCTGACAATTGACAATGGAGTCTTTGAAGTTGTGGCTACCAATGGGGACACTCACCTGGGTGGAGAAGACTTTGACCAACGTGTTATGGAACACTTCATCAAACTCTACAAGAAGAAAACTGGAAAAGATGTCAGGAAGGACAACAGAGCTGTGCAGAAGTTAAGACGGGAAGTGGAGAAAGCAAAGCGAGCCTTGTCATCTCAGCACCAGGCTAGAATTGAAATAGAATCCTTCTTTGAAGGAGAGGATTTCTCAGAGACGCTTACTCGAGCCAAGTTTGAGGAGCTGAACATGGTAAGTTTAGAAGGGTAAAGGTACGTTGCCTCAGCTCTAGATTGGAGGCTTGTGGATGTGCCATATTTAATGCTGTGACATTGCACTTCAGTGCAAGCAGGAAGTTATTTATACTCTAAAAAGCAGGCAGCTGCTCCTTGTCAGGGTAGCTGGGGCTGTGTGTATGTTAGTGACAGCTGAGATCTCATTGAGGGTGGTAATAAGCCAGTTGATGTTCCTTTTCTTGCAGTGGTTGTCCTTTGTATCCTAAGGCTGCATAACTGGGAGACTATGCATGTGGGAATACAGTCTTATAATCCTGGGGTCTTTGTCTTCCTAGGACCTGTTCCGTTCCACTATGAAGCCTGTTCAGAAAGTTCTAGAAGATTCTGACCTAAAGAAGTCTGATATTGATGAGATTGTTCTTGTTGGTGGCTCTACTCGCATCCCCAAAATACAGCAGCTAGTTAAAGAGTTCTTCAATGGGAAAGAACCCTCTCGTGGCATTAATCCAGATGAGGCTGTAGCCTATGGTGCAGCTGTCCAGGCTGGTGTTCTCTCTGGGGACCAAGATACAGGTAATGACATCTTTATGGTCACCTCAGGAGGGTGTTGCCTGAATGGTGGATATTGGTTATTGCCGAACAGAGGCAGTGGAACCTGCTACTTTTTCAGGCCTTAAGTTCTGTGCCTTTGAGGCCCCAGGGTTCTGTTTACAGTGATGGGATGTGGTGTTTCTTTCCCGTTGAAGTCATGTCACAGTCTTACCTTAATGTGTTCCAGGTGACTTGGTGTTGCTTGATGTCTGTCCTCTGACACTTGGCATTGAGACTGTTGGAGGTGTAATGACTAAACTGATTCCCAGAAATACTGTTGTTCCCACAAAGAAGTCTCAGATCTTCTCTACAGCTTCTGACAATCAGCCAACTGTGACAATCAAGGTCTATGAAGGTAAGTGTCACCTGTAGCCCATGTGACAGCTGGAATCTGTCTGTAGGACTTTCATACTTGACACTATCTGTGTCAAAGGCTGTAGATAACTTCTGGAAGCTTACAGATACATATCTACAGAGAAGAGCTCAGTTCACTTGCATCAAAAGCTGTTACTAGGATTTTTTCAAATGTCTTTTTCTATGGTTGTATTCTGAAGAGCTGCTCAGACCATATAGGTGTCAAGTTGGAATGAAAACCTTGTCTTCAAAGTACAAACCACAGCTAGGAAAGACAAACCATATCTAATTGTGTCTCCTAGGTGAGCGTCCCCTCACAAAGGATAATCATCTTCTGGGAACTTTTGATCTCACTGGAATCCCTCCTGCCCCTCGTGGTGTCCCTCAGATTGAAGTTACCTTTGAAATAGATGTGAACGGAATCCTCCGTGTCACCGCTGAAGACAAGGGCACTGGGAACAAGAACAAGATCACTATTACAAATGATCAGAATCGGCTGACACCAGAAGAAATTGAGAGGATGGTCAATGATGCTGAGAAGTTTGCAGAGGAGGACAAGAAGCTTAAAGAACGCATCGATGCCCGGAATGAGCTGGAAAGCTATGCCTATTCTCTGAAGAATCAGATCGGGGATAAAGAGAAGCTGGGTGGTAAGCTGTCATCTGAAGACAAAGAAACAATAGAGAAAGCAGTAGAGGAAAAGATTGAGTGGCTTGAAAGCCATCAAGATGCAGACATTGAAGACTTCAAAGCAAAAAAGAAGGAGCTGGAGGAAGTTGTTCAGCCAATTGTTAGCAAGCTCTATGGCAGTGCAGGCCCTCCCCCTGGTGAAGAGGAAGCAGCAGAGAAGGATGAGTTGTAGATACTGGCATCTCTGAATGTTGTGTGTGTATATATTGGACTCAGGAACATTTGTTTAAAATATTGAACTCTTTAATTTGGAATGTAACTTTGAATCTTCACTTGAGAGTGGAGCTGGAAATGCTAGCCCAAAGTGGCTGTATACTGCTTTTCGTTAGCAGTTGCTTGATGGCTGGGGAGGGAAGGGTAGTGGGGGGGGAGGGGGGGAGTGTAAATGCAAAATGGGTTTAGAAGTATTGGCAGTGGAAGCGTTCTATTTAACAGCTTGGTCATATGAACTTGGTGTAGAACTTTTCTACCTGAAGTGACCATAATAAATTTGTTATTTACACTGGACTTTGTTCAACCTAGTTTTGTTTTCAATTACCTAGTTGCAGGAGATGGCTCTAACTAGGACCCCCTCCTGTGCTCAAGCAGCCTCTTCCAGGCATGGGCAACAGGTGCTGCAGATGGCTCCGGGGCCTCAGCATCTCTTGCCCTTGGTTGAATGGCAACTCCTGACATACACCACACTTTCTGCAGTGTGCTGGTGTACTTGCAGCTGCACTGAGGATCATGATGCAACAGATCCTCATAAGGAAGGGAGGTAGTCAGCCTGAATAATGGCATGCTGGAGGGGGTAGTTTCTCCTTGTGCAGCTTCACTAGAGCCTGTGAGCTTCTTGATGGAGAGGTAAGTTAGCAATCAGCCATAGCAAAGCATCTGCCTGCATCAGAGGGATGATGCAAACTTAAACTGCAAAGCATTTTAGAGGAGGCTAGCTTAACTTCCACACATACAGCTTCCTGCAATATTAAAACTTCCTTGGAGCTTTAGTCTTACCTTAGAAAACTGCTCCATTGTCTCAAGCTTGAAGTGATAAATAAATGCTTATTTTTTTTAAAAAGCTTAGTTGGGGAAATGTGGTTAAATAAAGATTATGATCCTTATCCCCTCCATGGGATTAGGTAAATCTTGAGTACAGAAAGAGTTTTGTAGTGCCTGCTCTAATACCTCCTAAAAACCACTTAGCACTTTATACTTTCCCTGGTGGGGGGACACTTTTGTCTAGTTTTCATTCACTCATTTTCAAAATCATAGTGGAAGTTAAAGCTCAAATCATTCCCCCCAAGAAAACTTAATTTCCAGGCAACACTGTGGCTTTGCAGACAAGTGCTCCTCTATCCAACAGCACGTGAGTCTCTTGCATTGGAAAGCTGTCCAGACACAGCACAAGCCATTCCAGGCTCTTGCCTTCCAGCCACAGCTACCTGCCTGGGGAATGTGGCACCTCCTGTCAGCAGGACTGCATACAGAGAGAGCACCTGTACTGTGGGGGTGTGTTAGCACAGTGTGTTAGCCTTTGGAGGGTAAGAATTTCTTTATTGGAAAGAAGAGTTAACAATCTGACAGCACTGTAAAAACTGTAGAAAAGGCTGGTGCTGTGCAGGACTACAGCTCTGCTAGTCAAGCAGACAGACAATGCAGTCCCCATATATTTCCCCCTGTGTGTCCATCCCACCAAATACTAACAGCAGATGCACAACTGCATCTTCAGTGCACCCCTCCTCCTCCTGGCTCTCCTGGAGGGGGCCAGCTTTGTCACCTGCTGACACAGTCACCTCTTTCCCAGCTTTGTCTTGCCAGGTGACAGCTCCCACATCTCCATTCTTTCCAGCCCACCAGGGAATGACACACATGGCATGGTCCAGCCTCCCAGCAGGCAGAGGGGAATCAAATTGTAGGAGTGTCCACTGCTGCTTCTCTGCAGTGCAAAGATACACATTCTCACTTTTACATGTAGCTTCACAGGCTTAAAAAGCATGCTGGCACAGTGACATCATTAGTTAGACTAGTTTTCAACATAGAGTACTAGTATCACTCCAGTGCAATGATGCTAACTGCCAGGGGGCTGAGGGGGCAATGCATTTTCCAACAGACTGGCATTTACCATCACACAGCTGAGGGAAGTCACCCTACCTATGTGATACTTGTATGTAGTATCTAGCGTCCCATCTGTACTGATTCCACCAAAGATGTACAAGTGGTCTTTAAACACAGCTGATGAGTGGGATGCCCGTCCACCCGGGACATCACCAGTGGCTGGTATCTTAACCCACCTCATGTCATCTGTTGGAGAAAAAGAACACATGTGTGGTTACGCATTATAAAAACATCTGCAAGTTTTGTTGTTTTAAACAAATGGGGTAATATTTTAAGCACTTAAGAACCGATCTTTTAGAAAAAAGGTCCCCCAAAAGCAAAACATATCACACAACAGCTATTGCTCTGTAGTACCTATAGCCATACTTACTTATATCAATGCAGAACAGATCATTGTAAAAAATATCACCAGCTAAACCTCCATGTATGAAGAGTTTGGTCCCAGCTGCAACCACGACATGTCCGTGCCGAGGACAAGGGGGATCACCATGAGTATCTGGCTGGGACCACGTCAAGGTGGCTAAAAATGGAAGTACACATGCATTAGGAAGAAAACCCTGAAGTTCTACAAACCAGAGACCCTAGAGCCCTGCTGAGGCTTCCTAAGGAAACGCCTCCAGCGGGGTCAAAGAAGAGTTGATGCCCGATCACAGAGCATAGGCAAGCCCTCTGATGGAGCTCTGTGTGCTGTTTCGGGTAGCCAGTAGCTGGAAAGATTAATTCAAACTGGAAAGCAAACCCTTTCTGGTGCACACAGGGCTGTAAGAATGAACAGGACAACTCCGACAATAAACGAGCAGCACAGGATGATGCCACCACAGAAAGGAATCAGCTGTTGGGCAAACATGACAAACCACTCCCATGTCCCAGGGTGTTCCTCATCCCAGAACTTTACACTGCCATTTTGGCCCAAATTCCCCGTAACTACATAAAGGTAAGTACATGTCAACAGTGAGGAACATCCACCCATCCATTTAACCTCGCAGCCAAAGCAGGGGTCCAACATTTCCACATCTTTGATTGAACCTGAAATGCAGACCTCCCGTTCAACAGAGGATGGATTCCACCGTTTGGCATAACGCCCTTTACGCGTCCAGAGGTACCTGTGTCAAACACGTGAAGCCGCTGGTCTTTGACCGGTTCTGCTCCTTTATCGCCTCCTCCAAACACATACAGACAGTCTCCTACAGCTGCTGAGGAGGTGTGAAATGTCCTAGGCAGTGGCTGCACACCACTCACTTCAGGACTCTCCCAGGTTCCTATTTCTAATTAGGACATTTGATTAAAGAAGTAATCAACACGGTAACAGAAGACATGCTCCACTCCCCCAGCCACCGAGCCTGGCTGGCCTGTCCCGCCCCGCACACCCGCATCTCCCACAGGTCTGCACGTCGGAGCTGGCTCCTGGCCCCTCTCTCCGCCCTAGGCCCAGCGGGGTGGGCGCGGAGACCGGCCCTCGAGGGGAGCCCTGGGCGACAGAGCTGCCTCTGCGGGGCCCGGTACGCTGGCCCGCGGGCACTCACCTAGGTCCAGCACCTGGACGCAGCTCCGGTTCCCCGCC